TTTAACTGGAATACTCTCTAATATAGTTTTCAGATTTGTTTGACATTAAATTGTCAGATCAGAATAATAAAGAACTTCATTTAAGATAAATTATTAAGATATATAAGTATAAACATAAACAAATATTTATCAACGTATAAACAGAATTAGTCTCCGACAACTTTTTATCTAGATCTTGCGCCGTAGGAAGTCACAACCTCAGTATTTTTGAGAAAATGTTTCAATATAGCATGCGTATTTGCATAAGTAAATGAATGAATAAATGAATGAATGAATGAATGAATGAATGAATGAATAAATAGATAAAAATAAACAAATAAATAAATAAATAAATGAATGATGAATGAATGAATAAATGAGTAAATAAATAAATAAATTAATAAATGAATGAATGAATGAATGAATGAATGAATGAATGAATAAATAGATAAAAATAAACAAATAAATAAATGAATGATGAATGAATGAATGAGTAAATAAATAAATAAATAAATAAATGAATGAATGAATGAATGAATGAATGAATGAATGAATGAATAAACAAATAATGGACTTTATCTTTTCTTGATACAACCAAAACATGTTCGTCTATGCTTTAGCTTCATCAAGGTTACTTTTTCACATCATTTAATAAAATTATTTTTAGATCAAAAAGCAAAGCATGCTAGTTGCTACATACAAGTAGGGAATGAAAATAAAAATGTCACAGTGCTCGTTGCACCTGAAATACTTTACTCTTACATGTATATGTCGCATGTCTGCCACCCAAAGTAAATTTATTTTAACAATAATCTGTGTTAAACAAACAATTTATACAGTGGGATAGACGAATATTTGTTTAACATGTGATATAGGGCCTCTTCAAACATCTTCACCGTGAAAATTTCGATTAAACAAATAAAAAATTGATCACTTCTATAGTAAATCAGTCGGACGTGGTCGGTGTAGATTATCTATAAATCCTTAAGATTAACACAGTTGTACTTACCAATGTTTTTAAAGATTAGTTTCTAATCACTAGTATTGATTTTGTTCCTTTTAAATATCGATTTTACAATGTCTGTTTTATTTGTTTTCCTCTCGATATTTTTTTCTTATTTATGTGATAGTTTTGTATAAGATTTGTAATTGAATGGTTTTGAAGTGGTGTACGCGACTATTACCAAGTTCTTTAACAGTTTAATGTTTTATAACTTGAATAAAACTGCCTATAAAACTGATTGATTGGTTTTGACGTTGACAGTTTATTTGTAATCATTAATATGAATTTCGTGTCTTTGAAGAAACAAAAAGAAGAAAGATTTTATAGAGTGTATTGAATTCTTTGCTTTTCTTTTCTTTTTATATAGTTTTGCATGCGCTTACTTTGTTTATTTTTCATTTCGTATATATTTTGACTAAAAGAGTTTAATGGAATATTAACTGAATGAACTGGAGTCAAGGTTCTAAAATTAAATGAAAATTTAAAATGGAATTCTTTCATATTTATTTGCCATAGATGAAATCGAATTGTTAAGTATCCTAAAAATACTGCCATGTTAACGCATGCTGAAAATGCAAATGGCGTTTATCTAGACAAGGGAGACTAGTCATTGTGGCCCACGTGCGCGTACTTTATATAATCAGTAAAATGATAGCCTTCTTAAAGACCTTCTTGTATTAAGCCTTTTGTAATTTACAAAATTATATGCAACTAAATAAGTATATTAATAAATAAGACAAGTTTAAAAAGACCATAAATGTTTTAATAAAACATTTTTGAATAGGAACGTCATTTTGTCAGATTGCACCTTTTTATGTGTTGACAGACCGACATGTACGTCTTGGTTTAAAATTCTTTGTATCAGCGTTCAATATATCGAATAATTCACAGTATGTAATATTGATTGTACAATTATTCAGTTAACAATCCGATCTCTCTAAAAAAACAAAAGATCTAATATGCATAATGAACATCGAGTACATGTTAACAATTCATCAAATATTTACAGTGTTTCAATACATTGTGATACTATAAAACGTTTTGTTCTTGTTTAATGTCAGTGGTAGACAGACTGTATTGTTATCTGTGTGGTAGCTTTAGTTTAAAATGATAAAAACGTTTAAGGTGGATCAACATATAATTTCAGGTTTAAAGTTGTAAAATCTATTTCATAATTTCAAATTATAACAATCTTTTGCCAATGTCAGATAAAAAATTATATCAAACTTTTTAAAGCTGTTCACCTCTACGATAATGACTTATTTAAAGAAAATATTTTGCCTGCTTGAGTATTGTATGAAAAATTACAATAAACAATATGTATTCATTTGCTGAAAATGATTGAGTTATTTATTTTCAATATAATTATCGTACCCCATTGGTTATATTGTAATGAAAAGTTTAGACATGATGTGTGGATCTGTACACTTGGTCACGCTGTGTGCCGCTTTAATGGTCTAAGTATGTGCTGCTTTAATGGTCTGTATGTGTGCGTCTTTAATGGCCTGGATGTGTTGCTCTAATGGTCAGGATATGTTCTTCTTTAATTGTCTGGATATTTGCTGTTTAAATGATCTGGATGTGTACTGCTTTAGTTGTCTGGGTGTGATGCTTTAATTGTCTTGGTTTGTACTGCTTTGATTGTCTTAATGTTGACTGCTTTAATGGTCTGGATATGCGCGCGGCTTTAATGATTTGGATGTGTACTGCTTTAATGGTCTCGTTGTGTGCTTCTTTAATGGAATGGGTGTGTGAAGCTTTAATGGCATTGATTTGTGTTGTTTTAATGATCTGGGTATGTGCTGCTTTAATGACCTGGGTGCGTTCTACTTTAATGGTCTGGTTGTGTGCTGCTTAAATGACCTTGGTGTGAAATTCTTTATTGGTCTGGGTGTGAAATGCTCTAATGGTCGCAATACGTGCTGCTTGAATACCTATCAAAACACACACTTTCTGATAATGTAAAACTTTTATGACCATAAAGGGAATATAAATATTGTTTTTGACCTATTAAGATTTCAATCAAAATGTTTAAATTTTAGTACGGACTTCAATGCAAGACATTGGCCTGCTTAAAATCTGCCTGCAATCCTTCCATTCTTTAACGGGTATGTTAATCAACTTAACTTTAACTGATAATTGACTATACAAATGTTATCACAGACTAGTCTGTCTTGAATATAGACGGGCTACCTTAAGGTCACGCGTTGTCTTTTAGTTTATCTATAGTCGCGCCTGGTTACATATGGAGGGTGGATCTAGCTAACCCAAACGTTTTAAATGTACATAAAACAAGCGTTTTTTATACAAAGATGATATGACATGTTATATTTAAATTAAAGTGATTTTTTATGACTTCTGACATGCAAAATGCATTAATTAAGTGAAGGAATAAAAAAAGGTCGGGATCGCAGGATTACAATAAAGGTCACGAGGCAAAAGATATTTTGACTTATCATTAAAAATGGTAAAACTTGTATCACCAAATATTTTAGAGAAACGGGTACGGCTAGGCACTATAGAAATACCGACGAAATCCGACGGATCACCAAAATATACATTTGAACATTTAAAACATCCGAAAGATTCTGTATGGAATTTACCCGATCGGAAAGAATCATTGTGGATTACTGTACCTATTGAAGATGAATTGTTTAAAATTGCTCATTATATGGATAGGAATAAAAGTTATAGGTAAAAAATGAATTAAAACAAAAATAATTTTAAAGAAACGTGTCATACACATTGCAATGTAAAAAATGTTGGAATATTATCTATTTAAGTAAAATATCACTATTCAAAGTCGTTTCAAGAAACGTAATACATGTAATCGCTAAAATGTTTGTTTGTTTATTTTTACATTTTTTTTTGGTGTGTATGAATAACCTGGCCCCGTGTTCACAAAGAAAAGATCAGGATCAAGTGATCCTGATTTTATTTCCATTGTTTTATGTTACTAAAATTTATTGTGTTTTGCTGGAATAAAATAGTAAATATTCAAAATGTAAAAAACTGCTGATTTGCAAAGAAATCAAACTATTTGGAATAAAATTAACAAATAACAAAACAAATACAAAAATATTCGGATCAAAATAAGGATCAATTTTAGGATCAGGATCAATATTTGGATCAACTGTAAAATGTCCGTATCTTGTAAAAATAACAATAAATTTATTCTAAAATTTCATTAATTTGCTACTGCAAGTCCAGTTTTATCAAATTAATTTTAGATATTTAATCTATGAGGATAAAAAATGAAGAATATTAGAGGTTTTCAATTTGATCCTGATCTTGATCCTGATCCTTAAATCTTTGTGAACACGGGGCCTGATTTACAATGTAGAATATATTGTGGACATTAAGAAATGATGCATTTATTATATAAGAGTAAAATAATAGGAATTAGCAAAAGAAGTTATTAATTTCCATCATCAATGCTGAAGCATTTGAAGGGTAAACTAATTCCTCAGACATATATAATATAAAGTGATCAAATTTAGTTTAAAATACCATTAGTCTAGTACTCAATGCACGAACTAATCGTGCCATACACTGGGCGCACGGGTAAATTTATTCACGTGTCACCAGCAGGGTAAGGGTACTTGTATGACTATTACAAGAAAACATTTTATTGAGTTATTTCACTGGTTGTTACAATATTGTTTGTCTTTGTGGTTTTAATGAACATTCTCAGATAACTAATTTCTTCAATAATTTAATACGTTGTTGCTATATCTGTAATAAAAAACGTCTGGATTTGAAAGTAGCAAAGTGCAGCATTACCTACATGTTTTATCATTTTTAAAATGGCAAGGAAAAGCTGTGGCCAATTTGCTTCAAATTATAAATGACTGATTTTAGGTCGACTCATCTTTACAACATCTTTACCACTCGTTTTCCATGTCACCATAGTAAGATATCGTCCAACTCTTCCCCTTTATGCTCATTTTAATACAATGGTAACAGTCTAAAGATTGCATTTTCCAAATATCTAATTCAATTTTCCTTCTAATTTCAGGACAACATACGGAAAGATGAACGAATGGACAAAATCGTCTGGAGGTCGGGACAGTCGTACCGGAATCCCTGTCACACGGTCAGACGGTAATTGGAAACATACACCAAGGGTGTGTTACTATATTATATAGAAATAATCTTCAATATAATAATGACTTGATTTGTAACCATCAATTATTGTCAACATTCAACATTTTATATGAAATTTTGATGAACATACAATATATACATGTATATATATAGTGTAATACATATAAACCCTGAACCACCTGGTTTTGGGGAACATTTCCGTTAAATACGTCAAAGTTAAAAGTCTCAGCTGAAATCTGAGATTTTTCTCAACTCAAAAATAGAGATTTTTCTCAATTTGACTTTCACAATTTATTTTTTAGATTTGAGATTTTGCTCAGATATATTGAGATAAGGTGACTATAATGGTAGTTCACTTAACCATTTATTATAAGGATATATTGAGCTATGTTTCCGACGAACCCGATTTTGGAATCGACGGTTAATATTTTGTCCGACTTCCTATGCAATAACTAGAATTAGATATCAACCCAGGGTTATGCATATATAAATGTTGTCTTTTTTATATTCAAACAGGATACAGACATGCCAGCAAATACACAAAAAGATGACTATAATGTGAGATTCCGAGAATCCTACGCCGATCTTACAAATCAAATAGCTTACAGATTTCCCAACCCAGGACTTCCTAGGTACTATACAAGTTTAGTAACGTTGTTATAAGAAATTGAAATTTCAGACAAGATCCGTAAGGAGTTGTAACTACTGTACATGTATAATTTGATTAACCGACGAGCAAATAAACATGACAATTTTTCACGAGTTTTTCAATCATATCCAAACGTATGAACATTATACTTTCCCAAGACTTACAAAATTGTCTTCTCTTTACTTTTGCCCAGTAAAAATGAGGGCAGTCGCCATAACAGTATTACCAACCTCAGACTTAACAGCTTAGAATAAATAAATAAAAAAAATAAAAAACAATATTTGACAATTTTTTGTATTTAGACTTTTTGTATGGAAATATGTAAAAGTATACCGTCGGATTTCAATGATAAATATTTGTCATTAATAATTTAATTTACATCTAATGATTGTAGATTACGTCAGGGTAGGATCGGTGGTAGCTGGAGACATATTAAAGAAGTTCTAGGTCATGCTGGTAGTCGTGTTTGTTATGTTGATGGTACGTGTTGTTAATGTTGTTGTTTTCCATTGTTGTTGATATTGGCTTTGTTGTTGATATAGAATATAAAACACGCTAACAATGCTGCTTTTTTGAATCTGCCGTTTAAAAGTTATTAAAATGCGATACATATTAAGTACACATGTACTGTAATACTAGAACTCCGCGAGTCGGATATGTCGCCTTGTGAACAATATAGTTTAGGAGAAATGACCAGGACAAAGTATGAAAATTAACAAAGGGCAATAACTCAAAAAATAAGAAATGCAGAGTACTGGTTCTTGTGCACTGCGCTTCTTCTTAATGAGATCTATTATCCTATGAAGTTTCAAGTCCATAGCTTTTATACTTTCAGAGAAATGGCCCGGAAAAAAATAAAATATGAAAATTAACAAAGGGCAATAACTCAAGAAAAGAAATGCAGAGTACCAGTTCTTGTGCAATGCACTTCTTCTTAATAAGATCTATCATCCTATGAAGTTTCAAGTCCATAGCTTTTATACTTTCAGAGAAATGGCCCGGACAAAAAACAAGTATGAAAATAAACAAAGGGCAATAACTAAAAAATTAAAAAATGCAGAGTACCGGTTCTTGTGCACTGCACTTCTTCTTAATGAGATCTATCATCCTTTGAAGTTTCAAGTCCATAGCTTTTATAGTTGAAGAGAAATGGCCCGGACAAAATTAAAGTATGAAATTTAACAAAGGGCAATAACTCAAAAATTAAGAAGTGCAGAGTACCGGTCCTTGTGCACTGCACTTTGGGTTAATGAAACAAGCTTGCATACCAAGTTTGAAGACAATCAGACTTGAAGTGACTGAGTTATGCTCCAGACAAGCTTTAGGGGACGCCGACTACGACGCCCCTATATGTCGCCTTTTCAAGGCGACACAAAAAGTAACAAGTCATTAACGAGGTTAGGATCTAAAAGTTTCACTAAATCTTTCATGTCAATTCGCAGATAAATGTAAATTAGATAACATTTACTGCGTTTGAAGTTGTTCTTTTCATAATTTGAAAACTATTTATATTTCACATCGCTCTTGGGCCTGATAAATCAACTGTTTGTATTAAACAGGTCTTGTTTCCGTATATGACGAAGAACAATTCAACCAGAATTTACACGCTCAATCTCCATATAGACCACATCTCCGCCGACAACTGTATTCCGCTAACAGAGGTTTTGATTTCGAGACTGCAAGACAAGGTCGTGAGGCAGCTCAAGGTGTACAGTGTAAGTTTAGTATACTATGACGAGTATGAGTCTCATTGTGGCCCCGGCCATGTTTCCTGATATGACACTTGTATGTACACGTTAGAAGCGGACTGAAAAACTTTTTTTGAAGGCCCAACTAAGTTAGCCCGTTTATCCACCCCGTGACAGGTTTTAGGGGTTCGTAACAAGTATTAGGGGTTCGTAACAAGTATTAGGGGGTCGGGATCACCCCACTCATATCTAATATTTTATATTTCATATACATGTACATTATACTGAATACAAAAAGATGTTTTAATAACCCGACATAATTTAGTTCAATTATTTCTATATAATCACGCTTACAACAAATAAGGGTTGGGCAATAGTTTAGTGTATATTTATTGATATAAATCTAGTTCAGTCTCGTGCTAAATTTTATAAATTGATTTAGAAGTCTTATATCCCAGTTGATCGGTTTGTATCAAAATGTGTGCATTTGGATTACTTCTGAATGCATTATCGGTGTTTAAGGGATTAATAAGTATTATTTTGGCATTTTCTTGACTTTATTCAGAATATTCATCGTTTTATTTGCTTCTTATTTGGAATTTTACTGTTTTATAACTTTAAAGAAAGAATGAATTAATATAATATTTGAATCAATATATTTGTCCGTGATTGTCATTTACGATTTTCCTCAAGATTTATTCATATCTTGTACAGTTTTCTTTTTTTTTCTGAACATGTCTGTCATTTCCCTAGGTGACAATCGATTTAAGAAAGAAAAAATAGACTATCATTATTACTTATTTAATTTCTCTAGGATTTTATGTCACTAGGTTTAAGTATAGATGATGCATCATTAATGAACAGTCCGCTATCTGTGTAACTTATTTCATTTATATCATTCATTGTTTTATAAATGATCATAGAGAAGAATGTTCCAGTATTAGCGGGCGATCAGCTTTTTCTTTGGGACACAATAACAAAAATTTGTTTAATTGTTGTTTTTTTTGGTATAGGAAACGTGATAATAGGAACTTGATTTCGACAGTATTGTCTTGATTTGTCCTCCTGAACATTTTATAAATGTACAAAAACGGCAAACTGACGTTAACCAGAAATGGAAATAAATAAGCCTCGCAAAGGACTTAATCCATGGCGGATTTTTTCTCTCTCAAAAAGCAAGTTGTGTGTGTTTTTGGTTAAATACAGCTTGGTAAATATATAAACATATTCAGTAAATAAATACAGAACTTCAAATAGTCTCAATTATGTAATAATAATAATAATAATAATAATAATAATAGTACTTATTTGTTTCTTTCAGTACCTGCTGTAGAAGAGTTGCCCATGATGAGTTCCAACGAACGAGCGAGAAAACTTGCTATACAGAACCCAACAAAACACAAGGCAGTTTACTCGTATAATAAAATACCGAGTTTTAACTAGAACTTTTTAACTTTATCTCATCTTATCACTTCTTGTTATGAACTAAATTTTCCTTTTATATTTGAATAAACCGCTTTTGGAAAGGTCCGACAGATTTACAGAATTATTATTGCAGTTTGATTTGGAATTGTTCGCAACCAAGGGAAATAACTCGTCTCGTTTTGGAGAAAAAAAGTACATATTCACTATCTGTATCGCATGTTTTGCTCAAGGTACTTAAAAAGAGTATACAATATATTGTTTAACAGTATTTGCTTACGTCAGTATTATGTTGTAATATTTATATTATATAATTTACCATTAAATTTTCTTACTTTTTAAAAGTGTTTTGTTAATTCACTATATAACAAACAAATATCTGGTTTAGCTCATGTTCCTTTTTCACTAAAGACCAGACCAACCCGGACCAATTCATTTAAGAGAATTATATACCAAAAACATTTTATCTAAACCAAAGTTCAAGAATGTAACACAGTTGACCACATAGACAAAATATATTCAAAAGACACAACAGACAAGAACGTCTATCAAAAGTCAAAGCATAAACTAGGGAAACCATAAACCAACAACGTTATAGTGAAACATTCAGACCAAGAATTTTCAGTGCAACGTTTCGACAAAGAACGTTAGGAAATACTAAAGCATAAACGGAGAAAGAGTGTTAAGACCATGAACGTTTCAGCGCAGTATCTTATGATATCTATATCTAGGCCAAGAACGTTTTAGTAAAAACCTTTAGGCCAAAAGGGTTTTAGTAAGAACATTTTAGGGAAACATTTAGACCAAAAATGTTTCAATGAAACCTTAGACCAAGAACGTTTGATTGAAACATTTTGACCAAGAACGTTAAGGTGAAAAACATTTTGGCCAAAAAAGTTTAAGTGAAACCTTTAGAAAAAGACCATTTTAGACGAATTTTTTTTTATTGACACCTTTAAACTAAGTACGTTTTTGTGAAACATTTAGACCAAAAACGTTTAGGTGAAAACTTTAGACTAAGGACATTTATGCCAAGAACGTTTTTGGTTTAACATTTAGGCCAAGAACGTTTAAATAAAACATTTAGACCACGAAAGTTTTATTGAAACTTTTAGACCAAGAACTTTTAAATGAAACCTTTTGACAAAAAGCGTTTGAGTGAGAGTCAGACCTTTAGAACAAGAAAGGTTTAGTGAAACCTTTAGACTAAGAACGTTTTGGTGAAGTTTTTAGGCAAATAACGTTTTGGTGACACCTTTAGACCAAAAACGTCTTAATGAAACCAGAGATGTAAATAATGTTATATATGTCTCTGATGAAATATTTAATTCATCCCAAGAACGGTTTCTTTACAATGTGTGCTTGACTTATTACCCCCCACCCTCAAAAAAAAAAAAAATAAGATGTCAAAGTCATGTGGTATACGCACACTGACACAGTGAACATAGAAAAGATATAATATATAACATATAACACAATTTATTTCATTGCAAAATAAGAAGATTTAAATATAAACCAACAATGACTCCCTGAGTAAATTTCTGAGGACAATAACATATAAAGAACAATATAATGATTATGTAACAAGACATATACACATCTTGTATGACCATGTACAGAAATATATATAAAATCACTGTGTCTAACTGGCATTACCAAGGACAAAATAAATCAACCATTTCTAAATGTATGCAGTTAGTTAAAATATTTATTAATTTAGGCTTGATTGTAAAGGAAGCATGTAGTTTTTTTTTGTTCTACTTGACAGATTATGCAGTTTTAAACAAGGTAAAAAATAATTGTTCAATGTACACTGAACATTATGATTATGGTTGAGAACAAGAAATTACATAATATTTTTATGAAAAAAAAAGAGCTTACAGCAAAATGAATTTGAAATATGCAGGAAGTTGTCATCAATTTGGTCATGACTGCTATATCAAAGTAAGTATGGGTGGACATGGACACATAAGTATAGGATTTGGCATGCTTTTATATGTAATCCTTGTATATGGTATATATCACTGGTTAGACACAGTGAATAGTTAAATTAACATATCTGATAAGGCATGGCACCATTTCTACAACGATTTTAAGCTTTACTAGTTAGACACAGTGAACAATTGTATATCTAACACTCTAGTGTATAACTGACATTTAGTTTTACATAACAATAATGTAGTTTAAACAATTTATAACATACAATATTATACAGTAAGCTATTTTGTACCATTGATACTTTTGTATAATATTGAATACATCTACATTATGTTGTCAAATAAAAGAATAAACCGTTTGACATTCAGATTATTGCATGTTATACAAAGTAAAATTGATCCCAAGTAAGATTTATAAAATATTACATAATATTTGTATTTATATAAATTATCTTTTGAAAAATATAAGTAAATTTTTTATCGGACCAGATTCCAATTTTATTTCAAATTCTTAAGAAAAAGATTTTTTTATATTTCATTATTCCTGTATATAAATGAAATGTACTGGAATTTAGAGTATTGAATAAAATCTTTGAAAAAGTATAACAAACAATTTTTTTTCCATAAAGCAGTTAAAGATGCACAGTAACTTGTAAATCTATCTATTTTACATTAGTTATTTTTGGAATAATTTTACCAATTTTACACAAATCACAAAGCAATAGATTGTCACCTTAGTGCAGTAATAGGTTAACTCCTTATATAATATAATAGTAGTTAACTTGTTACTACACTAAGGTGATGAGATACCGACTAAACTAACTTTAATTTAAAAACTAGAACACAATATTTAAGTATGATAATAATTATTGAATAGTTATTTCTGTGGAATTAAAGTTGAAAATTGGCAATTTAAAACTTTGCATGAACTAAACATGAAAACTGAAATTCAAGGGCAGATAACCAAAATAAAATGAGTTCAGAGACCTCTAAATTTTGTTCACTTAAAATTTTCATTTAATTATCATATTTTTTCTAAGCTCATGAAATGTTTTAATACATCAAATGAAACAGTTATCATTCTGTCTCGTCTGTCTTTACATCTATATGAAAACTCTAGCATAAAGTTCCCTAAAAATGCATAGTCCAAATGGACAACAATTTCATTTTCTATCTATCAAGCCCTCACAATCAGTATGTCCATTAGATTCCTACATGTATATTGATACAAAATATATATAATTTAAGGGACATACATTTTAGGGTTCCTCTACTAGTATAAGCAACAAAGAAAAAAGTCAATTAAATAAACAAATTTCATAAAAATTAACATGCATGTAATAATAGGAAAAGGGGCAGTAACTCTGTAAGTAAAAGGGGAAAGAACTAAGATACTGTATAACAGTGAGGGAAATTTCTACTTAGGTCATGAATCCACCTGACCAACTAACTTTATGTATATATAATAATGAACAACACTAAGAGTATTTTAACAACAACAACAACACCAGCTTTCTTGATAATACAACAAAATAAAATCATTACAATTTTGATAAAACCTTAACAATCCAGATTTGTTATAAATATTTGAAATTTAAAAGTATACTTTGCATTTTTTCATTGATTATTTCAAAGTTGTGAACCAAGTAGTGACAATTTTTATTTATTTAAATTTATCTGGGCTTGCAATTTTCTAAATCGTTATGAAAGAAACTGACAAAAAATTAAAAAATTATCATTGCATTTACAAAATATGATAATTTTTAATTAATTAATGAACAACTTCCATGAACGCTTGGTATTTCAACCAGTATGGCAATGTAAGTTTTAAGCAGATTTCTTTTTATAGACAATTAAAACATTTTATGATATTCAAGAGAAAATTAATCATGATTAAATGATAGATGAGAAAAACTTAACAAATAGAAACAAATTCTTTAGTTCCCAAATAAACTGATATATTATCCATCATGATATAAAAAAAAGATTCTTTTTTTAATTAAAATTTTTACCTCAAGACAATCCCTGCTAATATTGATCATTAATTAATACATTTTATGAGGTCACAACAATAACACATGTTTATGATATAATTTCAGATTACAAATTGTTAAAAATGTAACAAACATCTACAATCTTTAATTCAATAAATACAAGTATTCCACATTTATAAAGCAACAAGTTTCCAGATTTGTTTTGAGTTTTTTTTAAATTAAAATTTAAAAACTGTTCTGAAGAATACAAAATGTTACCAGGTGTTCAAATGATTTAACCTAACCTTAAACCCTTTCTATCATAAAAAACCCACCTTTAACATGTCAAAATATGCAACAATTATTCTTGCTCTATTAGCAATGGCAGTGTTATTGCTGACCAAATTTTTTCTTTCTTTTGAAGAGGGGGGTCATCTGAGATAAGGGAATTACAAGCTATTTTTGAGGAACAATATGTAATTTTATACCTTTTTTTCATATCAGGGGAAATCTTTTTATTTCAGTCAGTCTGTTTCAGTCTGAGTTTCTGTTTCTTGTTGGGCTTTCTTTAGGGATTCTTATTTATCTCTATTCTAATAACTAAATGTGTAATCAGGTGTAAATACAGACATGTACAGCAATAACATTTGATCATATTTTCTACTTGCCTCTGTAATTGTCGCAGATTAAATTTTTCAACCAAATATTGACCCTAACCATATTGACCATTTATACTGAATAATTACCAGTCAGTTTGTCACTGAAAACATATACTTTGAATTTTGTTTCCTCCAGTGTAAATGAAGTTTGTAAAAAACACAAGAAACGCACAATTGCTGAAACATTGCAATGGGATATAACTTTGGTGATTGAGATAGTATTTATTATTTCAAATACTACAAAAAACATTAAAAGTTTCACTTAGATCATGAATTCTTATGGATTTCATAATAATGATGTATATTTTCTTAAACTTATATGTTAATAGAAATATTAAACACATCTGGAAACATGCTGCTTTAAACTTTTTAACTACAACATTGATAAATAGAAATCAGGAGGTATTTTCTGGTTCGATAATGAATGCAAGTTATGATTGTCTTTTCATTGTTTTTGAAGACAGAAATTCTAGAAATTTGTTTTGGTTCATAAAAAAGGCCTAAAGTCATATTTGTACTTGGTTTGGTGAAGAGTGAAGTCAAAAGTGACACAAGTTAAAGTCCAAATTGTTATGTATGTAAGTTAAAAGTGACACAAGTTTAAGTCCAAATTGTTATGTATGTAAGTCAAAAGTGACACAAGTTTATGTCCAAATTGTTATGTATGTAAGTCAAAAGTGACACAAGTTTAAGTCCAAATTGTTATGTATGTAAGTCAAAAGTGACACAAATTTAAGTCCAAATTGTTATGTATGTAAGTTAAAAGTGACACAAATTTAAGTCCAAATTGTTATGTATGTAAGTTAAAAGTGACACAAATTTAAGTCCAAATTGTTATGTATGTAAGTCAAAAGTGACACAAGTTTAAGTCCAAATTGTTATGTATGTAAGTCAAAAGTGACACAAGTTTAAGTCCAAATTGTTATGTATGTAAGTTAAAAGTGACACAAATTTAAGTCCAAATTGTTATGTATGTAAGTTAAAAGTGACACAAATTTAAGTCCAAATTGTTATGTATGTAAGTCAAAAGTGACACAAGTTTAAGTCCAAATTGTTATGTATGTAAGTCAAAAGTGACACAAGTTTAAGTCCAAATTGTTATGTATGTAAGTTAAAAGTGACACAAATTTAAGTCCAAATTGTTATGTATGTAAGTCAAAAGTGACACAAGTTTATGTCCAAATTGTTATGTATGTAAGTCAAAAGTGACACAAGTTTAAGTCCAAATTGTTATGTATGTAAGTCAAAAGTGACACAAGTTTAAGTCCAAATTGTTATGTATGTAAGTCAAAAGTGATACAAGTTTAAGTCCAAATTGTTATGTATGTAAGTCAAAAGTGACAAAAGTTTAAGTCCAAATTGTTATGTATGTAAGTCAAAAGTGACACAAGTTTAAGTCCATATTGTTATGTATGTAAGTAAAAAGTGACACAAGTTTAAGTCCAAATTGTTATGTAAGTGTAAGTCAAAAGTGACACAAGCTTAAGTCCAAATTGTTATGTAAGTGTAAGTCAAAAGTGACACAAGCTTAAGTCCAAATTGTTATGTATGTAAGTCAAAAGTGACACAAGTTTAAGTCCAAATTGTTATGTATGTAAGTCAAAAGTGACACAAGTTTAAGTCCAAATTGTTATGTATGTAAGTCAAAAGTGACACAAATTTAAGTCCAAATTGTTATGTATGTAAGTCAAAAGTGACACAAGTTTAAGTCCAAATTGTTATGTATGTAAGTCTAAAGTGACACAAGTTTAAGTCCAAATTGTTATGTATGTAAGACAAAAGTGACATATATTGAGTAAGCAAGTGAAAGATGACATTAGTCAAGTGTTGTGAGTGTAAAGTAAAAGTGATATGAGTGTTAAATCAAAAGTAACAATTGAATGTAAGACAAAAATGAAAATTTTAGCATCAGTCAAAGGTAAAAATAAAGTATAAATAAAAAATTACATACATGTAAGTCAAAACTGACACATATGTGAGCCAAAAGTGACATTTTAAGACTGCTATAATGGTTACAAGAGTCAGAAGAATTTATTTTTACATTTTTAATAATGCACTTTAGAGTTGAGTAACTGGCATTCCATGAATACTGTGACACTTTAAAAATGTTTACAATAATATTTATGAATGCATCTGATGAGTTAATTTTTCAAGTTATATTAATGCTGATTATCATTTTTGAGACCATATAATAACACATGTAGCTATACATATTTGTAGTGTACATTAAAACAAGAGGGCCATGATGGCCCTGAGGTCGCTCACCTGTATATATGCCTCCCCCCCCCCCCCCTGGCAGGGCCAATTTTAGTCCAAGGGCTTTTATTTGAACAAACTTGGTACACACATATAAGATGTATCATGCTAAACATCTAAGCTCTGAGCTCATTGGGTTTTTTCAAAGAAGATTTTTTAAGTTTTTACTATACACATATAGTTAAAAACAATGACACCCCTAGGGCGGGGCCAGTTTTGATCCTAGGGCTTTTATTTGAACAACCTTTGTAGACACTTACTAGAAGATGTTTCATGCTTAATATCTAAACTCTAGCTATTTGGGTTTTTTCAAAGAAGAGTTTTAAGTTTTTGCTATACACATAGAAGGAAAATCAATGACCCCTGGGGCTGGGCCAATTTTGACCCTAGGGCTTTTATTTGAACAAACTTTGTAAACACTCACTAGAAGATGTTTCATGCTTAATATCTAAACTGTAGCTATTTGGGTTTTTTCAAAGAAGATTTTTTAAGTTTTTGCTATACACATATAAGGAAAATCAATAACCCCGGGGTAGGGCCAATTTTGACCCCAGGGCTTTTATTTGAACAAACTTGGTAGACACCCATTAGAACATGTTTCATGCTAAATATCTTAGCTCTAGCTCTTTGAGTTCTTTAAAAGAAGATTTTTTAAGTTTTTACTATATGCATATAGGGAAAATCAATGACCCCCTGGGGCGGGGCCAATTTTGACCCCAGAGCTTTTATGAACAAACTTGGTAGACACTCACTAGAAGATGTTTCATGCCAAATATCTAAGCTCTAGCTCTTAGGGTTTTTTTTAAAGAAGATATTTAAAGTTTTTTCTTTCGGTTGCCATGGCAACCAGAGTTCTGCATGGAATTTAATTCTTTGAACAATTTTTAAAGGTGACCACCAAAGGAACATTCCTGTGAAGTTTGGATGAAATTGGCTTAGTGGTTTATGAGGAGATGTCATTTAAAGTAAAAGTTTACGGACGGCTGGACGCCGGACGGACGGACGAAAAGCGATCACAAAAGCTCACCCTGTCACTTTGTGACAGGTGAGCTAAAAACAATATCTTAATGATCCTGAATTATATGCAGCATTTCCGTACCTGAGTTTTTTCAGAAATAACCTGAGTCACAAAAATTTACATAATACAACATACTGTTTAATGTTCGTCAAATTTTCTTATGTAGAATACGCCACTTATTTCTCAAATCTTCTGTAGTTCTACCTTGAGCAAAGGTAAATGAACTGAGAATTATTTTCCAGTTGTAGCCGAACTTCTTAATACCTCGTCTGAGTCTACGTTCCTCACACATAGAGAATGGTTTTAGAGTTTTTGGTCTGGATATGAGGGAATGGCATTTAGAGCTTGACGTGTCATGGTTGCTTGTAGCCTGATAAAAGAGAAATGTTAGTTTTATTTCATTTGGGCATTTGAGTTTAGTATAGTTTAAACATATCTATTTCGTGCCAATTTTGCGACTCCGTAAATATGGTATTGCACGGCCGTGCATATATTTTGACGTGACGTCATTTGTGTTATACAAACAAAGTGTAAAGACGCGCTAAATGTTAGCGTTATAATATAGACACGTCAATGAAAAATGACTCTTATTTCATTTTAAACAATCTTTATTTTGGGTATGTGATAAATAGAATTTTAAATTCGTGTAAGTTCAATACTGAATTTATTGCACTCGTTGAATAAAATAATATTATGCTCGCCCCAGGCTTGCATAATATAATTTTATTCAACTTGTGCAATAAATTCAGTATTGAACTTACACTCATTCAATATCCTCTATTAGCTCGATTGCAAAACAAGTTCTTGCAACTTATATTAATCACTTTCGAGTCCGCTTTCTGGAACTAACCAGAACTCAGGTATCATTATGAGGAAACTCCGGAAATTATGATCGTGACCTGAGTAGGGCTTGAACCCATGATTCCTGAGTTGAGAGGCAGACACCTCTCCCTCCTCCCCTTTTCAGTTTTATTTCATTATCTCTAGACTATTTATATTATATCATTCACAAAAAATGTTGACAATGAATAACATCATGAAGTAATAAGGTTATCAAACCCCCAGTATTCCAAAAGCAAATTTATCATGATTATCCTTGAGTTATTGGTTAAAATTAAATATTCTGTCTAATAGGGTTTTCTCTTCTGGAAGATTTTGCAAAATAATTTAGACAACACCATAGATGTTGCACAATTACAGTACAATTTCTAGGATCTATTCTCTAAAACAATGAAGTTTCTATTTGTAACACTTTCCTCAAGTTTTTTCTTATATAAGAAAAGTTTCCAGTAGAGAGGAGAAAATGCTAGTAAAGAAACCCCAGTTATGTCAAATTTGTCATTTTATGACATTAATACAGTCACTATGGGAAATAGAAATGATTAATGGCAACAAAAGCAGGTTAAATTTGTTCTGATATTAGAGAAAAATGTAGACTTATATATATTCCAATAAACTTTACACCAACCATGAAAAGCTTACCCAATCAGTTAAGTGAGTACAGTGTTAAATCAAAATAGAGGGCCAGTAAAATCTGATTTTGAAGAACAAGTCCATTTTTCTCTGAAGCATTTCTTTACTTGTCTGTATGATATTTATACAGTAAATTCTTGAAAATTTCAACTTGTCCATACAAGCTGTGGGATAAGACCTGGGCAATACGGCTACCCCTGAAAAGACCTTGAATTTGAGTTGAGTTGAGTTGGGTTAAGCATATATGAGCCGTGTCATGACAAAACCAACATAGTGGGTTTGCAACCAGCATGGATCCAGACCAGCCTGCGCATCCGGATGCGCAGGCTGGTCTGGATCCATGCTGGTCGCAAACCCACTATGTTGGTATTGTCGTGATGCGGCTCATATATGTTTCTGTAATATTGTAGTTGATGAAATGTGACTCAGATGCCAATTATTCTACATCAATGTTTAATAAACTTTGTCAGGGAGCAAGCAGTTTCTTGTTGAAACAAGAATTTCTGTAACACAGATCTATAGAAGTTCAAAGAGGACACTGAGATTGATGTTACATGAAGTCATGTTTACAAAGAACAACAAAACAGCCTTAATATATAAGAAAAAAATTAAAAAATCTATTGATAGCCTAATTGACCTTGACCTGTAACCTTAATAAAAGGTAGAAGTAAATAATGGTAATCACACCACAATATTTCTAGATTTCGGCCAATAAATGTGCTTTGAAAACACTGTGATGACAGGACATCATCCTTACTAATGGGCAGTTAATAGAGGCTATGTCTCTACCATTCTTTGATCATTCTTTAATAAATTTATGAAAATTTCCTAGCTACATTGGAGATCAAAAAAGATTAATTGTCTCTTACTGTTCCAATAATGGGGCAGAACCCATCCATTAATTAGAACATATGGACATACCAGACAAACTTATACAATTTACTTCAATAAGAAAAATTATGGATCTTTTAATAGCACTTGTACAAAATTCAAAAGTACTATGACTGCATTTTATCTAACTGCTCACTAATATGACAATTTCTACAATTAAGAAATAGATAAGGATGTTAATATTGTAGCAGTGGTCTTTCTGAAAATACTTCATTGGGACAAGGCCTATAACCTCTTAATTTTTGAAAGAATTATTGCTAATTTGGGAAGTCAAAAAGCTGATGTTTCAGACTTTTGTGAAAACTACTTGATTTTAAAGAAAATCTCCATTGCAAAAATGCCCCTTACAGGCCTCTGTATATATATGTTGAAAAATCAGTGTGTTAAACTTACCCTCAATCTCTTGTATTTATCCATCAGGTCAACATTGGTTCTAGCCGGGTGAAAGTCATACGTCACTAATATCTGGTTCCAATGTTTACCTAGTACTCTAACACCTTCCAGGAGATTGTTCTCTTCCTCTTTAGTGTATGGAATCCTCTGACGACGCTTCTTTCTTTGAGACGGAGGCTGAAACTCATCATTATCGTCAGATGGAGGAGATATCTTAAATTAAAGACATATTACAAATTAATGATATCTTAAATATAAGACATATTACAAATTAATGGCTTGGTTTTCTGAGGAGTTTAATAAATGTGTTTCTATTAGACTTTAGACAGCAGACTTACTATATTTTACATTATGTCAGCAAGACGATGTATACATATATGGAGTGTATTGAAAGAGTTCAAACTTGGACTTTGATCTTGACATTTGTAATAGCAGTATGGTTTAAACATATATCAAATGAAACTTTATCCTGTACAAGCAGATGTTAGTTTATAAGTTTTTGGGCGTTTTTGTTTGGTTTTTATAATGTTGCCCCAATTTACACATTATAGGTCAAATGATGACTTTCAAACTTTACTGGTGGTGGAAGACCTCAAGTGCTCTTCTGTGCTTTATTTCAGGCAAGAATGGGCACCTGAGTAGAACCACCAACGTTCTGTTAGTCGGCAGGATAGCTTTCTCACATGTATGCAAGAATTCAAAGTTCCTGTCAGGATTCTACCCACAGTGGTGACGAGTGATTTAAAGTCAACAACCATGATCACTCTGCCTGGGACAAAAAGCATTGTATAACTTCAAAGTAACATCATGATCAACTGCTGTGACATCAGCCAGGGTCTTACACAAATAATGTATTTTTAAGGCACTAATTGATGTCAAATTGTTTGAAAAAGCAAAGACAGACAAACATATTAATTAGATATATTACAGTAGTAACAATGTTTTTCACAGAGAAATTAAAAAAAAAGTTGGAAAAAATAAAAATCAATAAATGTGTCAATAGGGCACAGATGCCCTCACACCCCACTGTTTTGTCAATCAACTATCTATAGGTCAAATATGTTTTGGGCTACATGTGACACAAGTTGAAAATAGGAAATTTTTTCTAAGGCAAGGGCAATAACTCTACTAATACTGAATAAATCCACAAGCAGCCCCCATTGTGTCGACTACACATGTTGACAAACATTTCTGTAACGTTTAATGACTCTAGGTCAAATACTTTTGTGCTATGTATGACACAAGTTGAAGATTGCAAATTTTTACAGTCAAGGGCAATATTTAACTCTAAAAGTTCTGAATAAATCCACAAGCAAACCCCCAGATGCACAAAAACACATGCTTACAAACATATAATTGCTGTAAAGTTTCCGAACTCCAGGTCAAATACTTTTTGAGCTAATAATGTACAACTCAAATTGAAAATTACTAATTTTTCAAAAAGTCAAGGACAAAACTGAATTAATCCACAAGCAAAACCCCAGGTGCACAACTGCATATGCTGATAAATATTCCTGTAAAATTTTAGGTCAAGCACTTTTAGAGCTTAACATGTGGCACAACATGAAAACAGACAAACAAAATCAAATCCAAATCTCCAACAAAAAAAACAAAAACAAACCATTATATCAATCAACCTCTCGTATTCCAAAAGCAAACTATTTGAAACGTATGTTAATTTACACAAAAGATTAAAATCTGACATAAAAACAGATCAATCTAATTAACACATTCTTTTTAATTTTCATGACCCTTTTTACCTTAAATAAATTTCACACTATTATATTAACCCTGCACTCTATACAAATTTATAATTTCCCTTACCATGTTAAGTATACAACACATTTTTCAAAGATCACTCTGTACTGTTTAACTTCCAGTTATCCATCTTAGTAACAATATTCATGTCTAATTAACATGCCTTGTTCTATTTATATTTTTATCTCTTCAACACCTTGCATTCACCAATATTCCAAAATTATGAATATTATATCTTAACTTATCACCTCTGTAAATGAAAGGCGAAATCTTTGATATCTGTCAAAAAATTATTGTTCAAATTTCCACTTTTTTCTGCCAATTCACATTAATTCTAACATTAACATTCAAATATCAACATAATTTCCTTCCACTTATCGCAATTCAATTGACAGTTTCTAAAACAAAACCATTCTCTGAAAACATTTTATTATATAAGTTTTTTTTCTAAATAAGGTCACAAAATACTTCTATTCAAATTACATAATCCACAAATCGGATGAATGTTTTTCTTATCTACAGCCAAACACCAATAATTTAATAGTTTTCTGTAGAACACCATTATTGCTGGGGAAAAAAAACTGCAGAACATTAAATGCATATTGATTTTAGCTCTTGAAATATGTTTAGCACACACATGAGGGTCTATCAGGAAAAAAAACTGCTTGCTGCCAATTTCGTTGTTTCAAATTTATGTAACAAATCTGCTAGAAATAGATAGATAAAGCTTCTCTTAAAGATAATAGCTGCAAAAAAGCAAAATTATTGTTTCTGTTTAAATTTGTACTGATTACTTTTGATTATCTACTTAAACATATTGACAGAAGTAAAGAGATTGTTTCTTTTCTTTATTTTCAAATAAATTTTCAAAATGGACTATTAAATTTTTCCTTCATTGGTCATATAAATTTTTCAAAACATAAAAATCTTCTGATATGGTATACATATAGGGAGACAATATGCAAGTTAAACAGTTCTTTTTATCAGAATTGTAATATATTCAAAAGATTTTTAAGTAACACAGGTTCTATCAAAGTCAAATAAAATTTTCAGATTTTTTAGGGGTGGAAGACCTTAATTTGCTCATTGACAGGTATGTTTTGCAAGGCACCAGAAATTACCTAACTGAGAAGTGAAAAGAATTATCAACTTTCCAATATCTCTTACTTATAACCACTGATCATACAACTTTCACATTTATAACTAATTGTTATTAAGATTATGTTCAGTTGTAAGCACAAGTGTTTACTACATAAATTGTGGAGTACATAAGTTGTTGATACCATATAATTCATTGACACCTCAGATAGTGTGTACCTGGAATATTCATTGGTAACATTTTTAAAATTAATGTTTGAACAATGAAGTAATCATCTCACAATTTAAGTAATGATCTAGCAATTTATTAGGAATGATTTAAGGAATGATCTGGCAATTAATAAGGATAAGAATAATTTTGCATGTAAATAACCTTAATGTTATAAGTTAACAAGCTAATATCTATGTTAAAGGACGTATCATCATCTTAGTTAGAGATATCAGGAATAAATCAAAATCATTTTAGTTGATTTTAACATCACTCCTTATACATGCACTCTCCTCTCTATTAACTTACAGCAGTTTATGACTTTGGCAACAACTTACACACAATTGTGATTTTTTTAAAAATCTTTTAATTGCTCTGTGCAACATTTGACATCTTGTAATTGCTCTAATAATTATATCAACTTACATTATCAGCAGATTCTGATGAAAACTCGTAAATTTTCTCCCGAGGCTTGTCACCATGCCTTGTTGATGGTAATTTATGTTGTAACTTTCTCTTTAGTTTATTTCTCAAGCTTTTAGATTTTCTGATCTTGTTGATATACGCTCTTTCTATCTGACGTAATTTCCGGTGCAAGGTGCAGGTGTTCTGGCTCGTTTCCAAGGCTATATTATAAGTGCGGGAGTTCAACTCGAGACCTCCGGCTCTAGCCTGGTTGGCACTGTAAATTCCAGCACAACCTACATAACAGCAAGGTAATAGTTTTTTTTTTATATTCATTACTTTTGAGTAAGGAAGGGAGTATTCAATTAAAGAAATAAGGGGAGCTGTTGTCTAGTGGTTAAAGTGTCGGCCTCTCAACCCAGGGATCAAGGTTTCGAGTCCTAATTGGGGATGATGACAATTTTTCTTCATATGACACCAGAGTACTGGTTGGTTCCAGGAAGCGGACACGAAAGTGATTAATATAAGTTGCAAGAACTTGTTCGTAATCAAGCTTAAATATTTATGTTTTAAAAAGAAATTTACTGTAACACACTCCCTATTTTTCTTAAAAATGAGAATTTATAAAACTACATTAATCTAAGTTCTGAAATATGACCAATAATTTATGTATGTTTAAAAACATAATGCTCTTCTTAGATTGTTATAGATAGCCCAAGTGAGACTGACACTAAGGTAGTTTTCAACAAGAATAAAATGCCATTTAATTCAAATAATGAAAAAGTCTTTAGAGAATATTGAAGATCGAAAAAAATAAAATTACCATTACCAATTTAGATACAAAAAGAGATACAGCATTTACTCTAGAGTATGTTCATTATTTATGCCTAATTTTGATACAGTCAACAGAACTCAATAAAACCTTGTTTGGAGTAAAATGTTTAACCTCATTTTATTGTCATGATACTAGGTTACAGATATTTTTTCTCTCCCGTGCCTCAAGTGATTTATTCATAGATGTTACATTTGGGAGCTTTTTACAGGGAGACAGTTTGAATAAATTTAAGTTTTAAACTAGATGTTCTTGAATAGGTTATGATTTTTCTCACGAAAAAAAGCAGCAAAAAAAGTGAAGATATTTTACATTTTAAATCATTTATGCCAAAAATGAAACCATTCTTTACAAACGTACCAAATAAGGTCAGGTATTTCTGCTGCATTAAAAATAATGAAGTATGGTAAAATAAAGCATTAAAACATTAAATAAAGAAGTATTGGTGCATAGTAAAATATTTGGTGCCTAATAGTGACCTTGATAATGTGAAAGGTCACATGAAACAATATTGTATGAAGTCTGATTAAAGAATAACAGGGCAATAATTAAGGAGTGGGACAGATTGGTATATACTATATACTATCAAATACTTGCGAGTCCCTATAGAGAACATATAATTTAAAATAATAAGTGTATAAATATGATAAGTATTGAGTATATAGACTCCAGGTAAATGATTGTTGTATAATTTTATAATATATTATGCTTGATTCAATAAATGTCTAATTCAAAATAAACTGAAAATCTTAAATAATTCAGTCAGTTAGAATCCAAATGGAAAGAAGTATAATAATTACTGATTTCACTCTGTTCATGATTTATGAAAAACAAGTTTCCTCAAATAATTTTCTAAGAAGTATGAAACGATAAATGGAAAAATGAAAATTTGTCTATTATAGAAAACAGATGCATCCACATTCCACTGTTTCGTCAGTCCACTGAAGGACACAGTGTGACAGATGGACAGTGTTACTGAAGGAAATGTGGAAATCTATATGCTCCCCCCACTTCTAAGTAGTGGGGGTCGGGGGGCATAGAAAAGGAAAACAAAAATACTCACCTGGACAACTGTTTTGAGAATCCTTGACAAGTTTCTTGCTACTTCTCAGTACAGCTGCACTAATATTTGGAGGTCCTTCTTCCTCGTCTGATATATCACTGCTACTACGGAAACCATCTATGTTACCTTGACAACAAACACACATATATATAAATATATATTAACACACATACTGATCATTTTCACTTATTTTGTTGCAATTTATATATTTAGGTTATTCAAGTTGTTTGAAAGTTCTTACATTTAATTATATTTTAATCTGTCGTAATATTTTTACATGTTGAGAAAATGTACAGCCTGACCTAGAATTGAACCCAGGACCCTCGGAATACAACTCTGCAGCTTCACAGACTGAGCTATCTCAGTTCAGATTCTCTCCACCAAATAGTGAACAGTTTTAAATCTTGACTAATACACAATAAATGATACACCATTACTCGGGGTTACAGAGCAATGTGAACTGGGCGCCAAATGTCGCAGGATGTGATAAATGTTCAGCCTGACCAGGGCTAGAACCCACTGGACCCTGGTGAATCATTGTGTCATGTTTGTACATGGAATAAAGAGAAATAAATGTTTTTTTGTCTTTGACTTGGGAATATCATTCCACAGCTCTAATGAGTGAGCTATTAGTTGCTAACACATTTTCTCCCCTAAATAAAGAACAGTTCTAAACCACGACAATTTCATGCCCAGTAGTAAGTTCCTACATGGACTCAGTGAAAAAATAGCATAACATAATATACCTAACAAAGGAGTGTCAAAACTGATTCCTAGGTGAGCAGGACACCTGTCCATATTTTATTGATACACAAGTTAAAAAACAAAATTTAAGCAGTCAGCATTATTGAGTGTTCACAGACTGTATACAGATGTTACTGGGGGACATTTGTTACTAAATACTGTTGGCACAGATTAAACTAGGGGCCTTATTGCAACTGTTGTATATAAGGCTGATAACAGAAGAAATATTGCTTCATCAGGGGCGGCATAATCAATTGTCTGTATTACCTAGGTTGTCCCACAACCTGTATGGACAAGTGGCAATTTGTCAATAATTTACTGTATATATATATAAATATCATACAGACAAGTTAAAAAATAATTCTGACAAATTAAAAACTCTTTCAGTTAAAAATGGACAAATATTAGTCAAAATCAGATTTTGCCAGCCCAGAACTTCATGTAAACTTAAGTTGTGTACTTACTGTCAACAGGACTACCATCAGGAGAAGTTGGACTGATAGTGAGAATATCTCTGGGAGAATGTATGACACTATCATCTAGTGAACGTCTTCTTGCTCCCTGAGAATTTATGCTGAATTTACTACTTAGCACACATCTTCTCATTCCTATTAATATAAAAGAAATGTCAATAAATCTTTTTCCTTACAATGTATTGAATTGTTTAAGTAGAGGTCTTTATATTTTTCAATCATTTTGATTATCACAAGCTGAATAATTTACGTGCCAAATGTGGCGTCTATTAACATGATTAATGTAGACGTCTGTTTCGTACGTTTACATCATTTCCTTTGTTATTTATCCACTGATGAAACTTGTGTTGGTTTTTGATCTACCTATCCAAGCTGAATAATAGTAATTTAACATGTTTGACAAAATTATCTAACTGAATATTGCTATGTAAATATAAGACTGATTCTTAAAAATCTGTTGCAAATAGGAACATCAGTCGATAATTTGATAGCAGATAATTCGAGATACTCATTACTGTTTTTTTCCCCCTAAACATATAATTATCTGTTGAAAGGATAAATAATGTCAGTAATAAAAATATCAAATACTTTTCAGGCAAATTTCATGGCAAAATAAAGATGATTTAACTATAATGGAAATTTTCTTCAAACTTTAAAGACCCATTATGCTCCAGAAATTATTTTTATTTATTTCTATTTTAAAAACTTCTTATTTTTAGTGTACTTTTAGAATTTCCAAAAAGTTACTCATTGGCCAATTCACCTGACCAATCTTTTTTATCTGTTGCTTTAAGCAATAAGTATAGTTATAGTGATTAAGGATTTTGGATGAAAGTAAAAATTCTACTTTGTTTACATTTTGCTACTTTTATGACAAATTGTTTTACATTCAGCACTTCTTTCTTCAAGTAACAAACATCTAAAATACCCTTAAACTCTGAATTAAACATTAAAAAAATTAATGTGTGCCCTTTCTTTAGGAGGAAAAATTATTCATTCCTGAGGCATAATGTGCCTTTAAGTTCAGACTTGCAACAGAACAACATTCCCTGTCTATCTGGTTATTTCAGTAGTAAAATATTTAGTGTACCCAAACTCTGGTGTCAAGATTGCTTAAATCCAAACAATGAACATTAAGCTAGTATATGTAACTCAGGTGCAAGATAAAATGTAAAATCTTGGCTTATTTTCCTACTGTCCCCCCACACTGTTTGGGTGCTCGGGTAGCCGGTTATAATTGATTAGTGAATATTTAAATAACATAATTAGTTATGAATAGTTGAGAACATTAACTTTGTATTTTTTGTACATGTTCTAGAAATTATGTTTAAAAGCAGCAATCTACACTATTTCATTCAAAAATGTTTGAAAATGAATGTAGAAAATTTATTACCACAGTCACTGAAGGCTGGTCTTAGAGGAACTATACCCTGTCTATGTGGGGTATAAGGATGTATCTGCCATCTCTCTGCTGCGTTACCTTCCCTTTTCTCTACCACTCTATCTATCTCCCTTACATTATTCTGAGATTTTATCACAGGTGTTGATTTTACAGTAGTTTGTTGCCTAGCAACATTTTTAAACAAATTAAGATCAAATTCAGACTGAACATCACTGTCATAGTCAGTAGCTTGGCTTGAATTTTTGGTATCACTATGTCCAGAATTTTTGGACAACAAAATTCTAGCTCCTGGTGGATTATTATCTCCTAAAAGGGGAGTAACTCTCACTTTTCGTTTTGGTGGAAGAGCACAAGGCTTTACGAATAAACCAGCTGATCTCTTACTGGATGATGGTATAAGACTAGGGCTAGATCTATCTGTGGTAATTTCTTCGTCTTGTTTCCTTTGACTTGCAGTTGTTTTACAGTCAGTTAAAATTACAACCGGTGTTTTATTATTATGATAATCTGGACTTCCTGTGATCTCTAACTTCTTAAACTTTCCAACAGAACTATCAGCTTTGTCAATTAATAATCTTCTATTTTTTGTTTGTGTGTTTTCTGCTGGTTGAAGTGCATTAGTGTTGGAATTCTGTCTGTTAAAGTTTGTTTGCGAGGAACCATCTACAGAACAACAGCTTTCATTACCTTCGTTATCATAGTCTGAACTTTTACTAACCCACGGAGTTCCACATTGAATCTCAGCATTCTTATTTATCTTAGTAGATCTAACCTTTGTTGAAGGCTGTTTCTGGATGGAATCCCTTATCACTGTAGTGGTCACTGTAATTTCATTCTTATTCTTTTGATTGTTTGTTACAACATGTGATGTTTTGTTCTTGCATGATAAATCTAGTGGTTTTGCAACATAGGGCAAAGACTCCCTGTTCTCAACTAAAGTGTTTTGTGGTTGGATATATTCTGTATCTAGGTTTCTTGTAAATGAAAAACTTTTCTGATAATCAGTAACCGGTCTGTGACACTTATTTTCATTACAGTTGGAAATGCTTTTATCTCTGTCATATTGATAAAGATTTTGTTTGTTATATTCACTTGTCCCGGAAGAGTTATTATTACAATCCAATCCTTTTGCTGTGTTTCTTGACCCATCATCATGTAACTGTCCGTACTTTAAACCACTTCTTGTTAACATAGGAGAAATTTCATCTGATTTATCAGTGAAATTTGATTGTGTCATTTCATCATAGATAGATCTATTCTGATCCAGCAAGTTTCTGTTTTCCATAGCCCCAGATTTCGCACCCGTATAACTGTAAGTAACATTCACATTTTGGGAAGTTTGTGATATTAAATTACTATTATTATTAGCGTCATAACAAGTTGTTGACATGTTGGTACATGATTTGTTCCCTGATGTGGAGATGTATTGACTGTTGTTGTTAGATGCAGCAGAATCTCGGCCAGTATGTACACTGGATGTTTGTCTTGGATTTGACAAATACACATTCTCGTTTTCTGGTTTATTTTCCACTCTAGAATTAGTCAATGCACTGTGGGTCCTACATATATTTTCTTGTAACATGTAATTTAATTTTTCTAATCGTTCCTTTTCAACTTTCTCCTGAAATAAACAGAACAAATGTTTATTATGATGAAAATGACTAACAGTAACAGTAATTTTTACCACATTTATTTAAGGATACAACTGAAAACCATCCTTTTAGGGCAAATAACGACATTAAAGGCTGTCTCTGATTAACAAAGGTCAAGTTAGAGATAAGATACAATTTTACTATTGATTATTTGTTAAATTTTTCATATAGCTAGGTGTACATATTATAACATTTGATTTATAAGTAACAACATAAAAAATACAAATAAATAACTTTACAGGACATGAATTTCCAACAATCTGTTTCTACAGCTAATTATGCTATGACACTATATCATCATGGCACACACACTCAAATTTCCTTACTTTTATCAGTTGTTCCATCAGAGATTTTTCCCTAGGTGTGGGACAATCTTGTTGGACAGAATGTTCACCTATAGAGCTGGCACGAGATCTGGCTTGTTCTCTATTGTGTGGAGATATTGATAGAGGACTCTCTAACCTGTGAAATAATTGAGCAGCGCCATGACAAAACCAACATAGTGTCGCTATCAGTATCTCTACTTGTAGTAGGGTTTGTAAGCAAACAGCATATATCCTGATCCATGCTGGTCGCAAACACGCTATGTTGGTTTTGTCATGGCCCATCTCATATAGTCATTTCCAAATAAAGTAAATTTATTGTCATAATCCTGTTTAAAATCAACATATTGTCATTGCTGTGTAAATGAAAAGCATGTGAATTTTCTCTGTTATGCAGTATTATTAAGTTTCCTTACTTAGGCAACAAACTAAATCTAATGTTTCAATTTCTTCCAATGATTTATAATCTATTTGGCAATTGTATGGGTACTTTAATGGCCATAATTGATTCATTTTCCACAATAGTTAACTAAACAACTTTTGCAAACTTTTAAGTAATAAACATTGCAAATGTTATAGATATAATTTATTAAAAAAATTGATTTTGTTAAGCTAAAGTTATATTTTTACATTGGTTGGTACAACATTATTCAATAATCATTGCACAAGGTGCAAGTTAAAATTTCTCTATAATGGCAAAATTTCTTTAGCTAAATATTGATTGGAGCAAAACGGATGTAACTCCTTCATGATGTAATGAAGTACAGCTGATTTGCACCAAACCCTCGAATTATATAAATATATCAGCAGAATAATATATCTTGTATATATCTAATATATGTGTCCAAAGAAAATTGTGTTCATGAAAAAGAATTCAGTACCGACAGTATATTTTGAATCAAGAGATGAACTTATCTAGGTCTTTTGTCTTCTACAGCGTTTATAGGCAGTTTCCGAGTTACAGTTTTCTGCTTAAATTTAATCTACATAATGTTTTCTGCCCCTCTTGCAAGAAAACCATGTTACTTTCCCTTAATTGAAGGAAAGAACCCCTAATCCCCTACCTGTGAAAAGAAGCTCTGTTATCATGCTAGACTTTAGTGCAAGTAATTGATATCCATAAGGTAATATCAACTTACCTTTCAAACATGGCATTAACATTTGTTGTAACTAATTCATTTTGATTGAAGTCTTTTTGATGTTTATTCTCCATAGACTTTACTTTACAGTCAAGTTCTTTAATCTTCTTTAACATTTCTACATCATTGTGCCTGTAAATATACAATAACTAGAAAATGTTTCCAATGTAAATATAATTATAATATATGGAAATAAAGTTTCCTTTTAAAAGGAAAGGCTTGCACAGTTGTGCCTTCATCCCAACCCTTTAAAATGTTTTTTTTTGTTTCAATTTATTATCACATTTTTTTTTTTTTTGAATAACGGTATTTGCATATCATAAAGGGTTTATTTAGTTCTCTTATCTCTATTGTATAAAACTAATAAAGAAAATGATCAATCGTAAAAATACTAACGTGATACTGAAGTCTGAAGGAAAACAAGTGTGCACATTTCATTTCCCCTTTTTCGCAGCGAAATCATTCCCTTGCTTCATAGACAAGTAAATGCACTAATTAAGAAGCATACATGTATCAACTATGTTACACGATCACAAATAGACGATGCGCTATGTGGTAAGGTTAATGATATGCATGGGCTATTTTTAGATTACCTCACCAGTTCAGTAGATCTAAATATAACTCGATCATGCAGGACCACCCTTTGAAGACGGAATACTACTACCATTCTCTATTGTATAAAACTGATACAGACAAAAAACAATTATAAAAGAAACTAACTTTTGCGTCTTGAAAAACAATTGAAACGGAACAATTTCGTTTATAATTTATTACGGTAATCAAGTAAAAATAGAAATCCTATTTATATAAACAAACTGGGATTACCGAAGTAACTAAAATAGCTTAGATTTCCGTTATATTACTTAGTATGACGGAATCGCCCGAATTGTCACGATTGCAATCGGAACTACATCGGCTATTATCATTAATCCGAAGAGTGACGGAAAAGGCCGAAAGGTTGCGATTGGCACGATTGCAGCTGGTTACCCGTTCAATCATGCACCAACAGATGTAAGCAGGAAACCACCTAACCGGAACAAGTTTTCCATATGAAATGGCTTGCAGCCGTGGCTGCAAGCCAATAAGTCCAATGTAAATATATAATATAGGAAAATGTGTCCAATAAATATATAATAAATTGAATTTTTATCTGTTCAATGTTAATATGATATAAAATATGGAAATGTGTCCAATGTAGATATATAATATATGGAAATGTGTCCAATGCAAATATGTAACATATTGAAATGTGTCCAATGTAAATATATAATACATGGAAAGGTGTCAAATGTAAATATATAATATATGGAATTTTATGTCCAAATTGTAAATATATAATAAACTGGTGAGAAATGAGTCCAATGTAAATATATTATTTATGGAATTTAATGTGTCCAATGTAAATATATAATAAATGGAAATAATTGCCCAATGTAAATATATAATATAATGAAATGTGTCCAATATAAATATATAATATACAGAAATGTGTACAGTAAACTCCACTTATAACGAACTCATTGGGACATTCAAAATCTGTTCCTTATATCCAGAGTTCCTTGTAAGCATATAGTGAATTAGTCCCTTGTATCAGGAGTTTTCATAGCGAACAGATTTACATATAACAAACTGATTGTTTACCATTGTCCGCCATTTTGAAGAGCATTTGATTAAGAAATATTAGTCATTGATTTCTGTTTTAGACAGCGTACTTTTTGGAATTTAAATAATAGCTATTTCAGTTTTAGTTTTACTCCCTACCTCAATTTCTCATAAAATATAATATTTTGATTTCTAAACTCACCTCGTTTTCTTTCCATGATTGAGAATAAACCAGATTTTCGATTTTTCATTCCTTTTATATTGTATATCTTCTATTATAATTGAAAGATGACTTTTACTAATGTAAGATATAGATTTCTTTTCATTTAAATCAAGCGTACTTTGCAGTTTGCAATGGATCATGCTTGCAAGGATGCGTGATTATGTAGAAAACCGATTATAAATTATTATCATTATTTTACTCGAGCAAAACTATTGAAGAAAAGAAATAAATAACCGTTTTATCTTGGTGAAAAGAGCTCATGCTAAAATATCCTAAATAGGAAACTATACAAATTCATTTTAATAGATGTATTGAAGTACATACAAAAATAAACGGTACATTCGGCCGTGTTTTAATCCGTGCCAATGAAAACGAAAGTCTATTTACGGATAGCAAATATTTTGGAGTTCGTTATAAAAGGGTAATTTTCTGTACTTTTAACTAAATTGGGACTAAGGAATGAGTTCCTTATAAGCGATAATTCCTTATAACCGTGTTCGCTATAACCATATATTTTTATATTAAATAAAGAAGGACAGAATTCGGGCCAAAATAAATTGTTCCCTATAACCAGAAGTTCGCTATAACCGTGTTCGCTATAAGTGAAGTTTACTGTACTATGTAAATAATTATATAATACGTGTCTCCTTATTAAATCACCATTTATTCTGAGATGGCTTTTAACTGGTACAATTCTGACAGAAGTCTGTGTACAGTCATTACGATTTTATGCCCATGTCTTCTAGTGGAATAAATAATTTTATAGGACTTACCTTTTCATAGCTTCCATTTTACTGATCAGACGTTCAGTGTCTGTTAAATTGGTTTCTATATCTGACAAGCTGCCCTTCTCTGTAAATATTCATACAGGTTTTATTCTAAATAACATTATATGATTTGATCATGCAGGTTTTTGTCTTAATTGGTATAGTGACTATAGAGGACGAGCCCGATTAAGCTTATCCTACTATACAAATCTATTTCAATTGCATGGATCTTCACTTATCAGTACTGTTATCTATACCTGTTTTTTTGAAGCAACTACCTATGCAAGTATGCCATATTCATATAAGAAGAAGGTAAGTAAATCAATTATCTGACAACAATGAAGAGTGTGTCTTATTAATTATAATTGTAACCATAAAAGTTATATCTCAAGACTTATCTTATTAATTTTAAAAGCCAAAATCTACATTTTGTTTTCTGGAATTTAACCCCAATTTTAACTAATATTTTGGTCAATAATATTATATCAGAGATTGATCCCCATAATTGGCTTTCTTAGATAACTTACCAATAATTACCAATTTCTCTGCAATGAACCAATTACTATTCCCATATGATTTCTTGTTCAGCAGCGGGGGACAAATTTGACCATTAGACTAAATGTCCAAGATCAATTGTCATGAAGAAATTACGCCTTGCCCAAGGATCAAACCAACAACCCCTGGATTACTAATCCAAGACTGTCCCTATTGAGCTTATTGGGAGGACTCAAAATCTACAAACATCATTACAATATATTATAAATAGAAACCAATTATACCTGAAGTTACACACATATGTAGTAAGTATTTGATGGTTTTAGAGAATTCTTCATCTTGTGTCTCGGTCAGTTGTTGTATCAGTATCGTCACTCCACCACAATCTCTAACATACTTCTGGTTCCCCTCTTTAAACACAAAATTATGTAACAAGAGGGTCATGATTGCGATCACCAGAAACACTGCTTTTCAGTGTTGGAAATTATCCATTGTCAATATTTTCTAATAGTAATTTTGAGTATAGAATATCTTTAAACAATAATTTGAAGAAATGCCATGACCTGTGACATTTAAGCTCTAGCTTAAACAGGGCCAATCAAATTAATATGAGCAAACTTGATAAAAGACTACCCAAGAATGCTTCAGACAAAAATTGGTGATCATCCATCAATTAGTTCTGCAAAAGGAGATGTTTAAATGTATTTCTATTTTTTGCTTTAGCAGCCCTTAAAAGGGGCTAATCAAATTAATATGAGCATACTTGATAAAAAGACTATCTAAGAATGCAACAGACAAAGTTTGGTGATCAGACCAAATTTGAAGTAAATCGGCCCAGCAGTTTCAGAGAAGAAGACGATTGTTGACGCATGACGCCGGAGCATCCCCCTTTGATACTAATAGCTCACCCTGAACCTTCGGTTCTGTTGAGCTAATAAACTTAAACACATTTACTATACATTTAGAGGAAACCATGCCTATAACAGTTATATATTATTAGTCATGAAAATTAGCTGATTTGCTGTTTTATCAATAATATCTTAAGTTATTTTAACAGCATTTTCAGCAACAATATACATGTACATAATATGCACACCTTATCAAAGAAAGACAATCCATTTTTTTGTGTCTTCATTTCCTTTTTGAAATGAATGATATAAATATATTCAACATAGAAAATACAATGTATTGAATCTTTGAAATATAATGTAAATTAAAATATTTGAAAAGTCATGGGAAATTAAGCCTCACGAGTATGACAGTGATTTCAATGCAACATAAGGAGCAAAACTTTGGAAAACCTTACAAGTATGACAGTGATTTCAATGCAACACGGTCAAAAACTTTGGAAAACCTTACAGGTATGGCGTAGATTTCAATGCAACAAGGACCAAAACTTTGAAAATACAAATAAAATTGTTGTCATGGTAACATTAAACTTACTATAAGCATCCAGGGCATGTGCTAGTGTCAAAACAGCCTGTATTTTCTCACTGGGATCCAAACAACACTCAGATAAAAATGTAAGCACAAGTTTTATACCTCCTAACTCTCCAAAACTTTTACTGTTTTTCTCTACAACATAAAACATATAAAACTATAATTTTCTTTTTACCCTGCCAGCAACAAATTAACCTATCCATACAACCAGAAGCAGATCAGCTTGCAAATCTTTGCTGTCATATCCAGATTTGCAGTTTTCTATTTTCAATAAAAATAATTTTGAGAAAATTATTAAGCTCTTAACAAAATTAAATCAAAAGTAATGGAAAAATTTACAATGTACTTTGTTTTGCATATGTTGCTTCTTTCTTGAACATAAAACAGTATTATTCAGAACTTCTGAATTCCCGAAACTTCCAAATTCCAAACTTTTTGGCTAGTCCCACAGGTGTTCGGTTTTTACAAGTTTCACTGTATACATAAATGACATCATTATTATTATTTGTAACATTAAGTTTTCTTTTTGCCTTCAGAAAATACTGTGCTATTTTCCCCTAAATTCAAGAGAGGACCTCTTTGTCTACCTGTGAAAAAAGTCCTGTTATGACAAAGCAATCAACATGATTTGGAAAACATGGTTATAATTATGACCAGGCAATCTGACATGATGGCCAGCATGAAAATCTATTTGTAGCCTCGGCAACCCTGATTTCTGAATTCAAATTTGAACCCATGCGCATGGTTAAAAAGCTCTGCAAGATGCCTAGATACCTAACATTTAAGATCTCTGTCAATATATAAAGGTCCTAGGAGAATGGGTAATCATTAGAGCTGTCATTGATTCAACGATATATCCATATTGTATGACAAATATCAACGCTATACCGATTTATTGATAATTACCTATAATTACTTGTCTCTCATTCACTTTTATACCTGTTTAAATGATTTCAGTTAAAAACATGTTCTGTTCAGTGTCTTGTTTATAAAAGTCTATTGCATTATTTTTTCCTAACAATTTTTTTTTGTCATTATTGCTGTGAAATATTTCCACTATGTAACAACAGCATAATGTTAGCTATGGATCTGTATATGTTTTGGGTGAATTTTCATAATTTCTAGATATTTAATTAATAATTAATTATTCAAAATTATCAATTTTTTAAAATGTGTATTGATTATTGATCAACAGAAAAATATTAATGATACATCAACATTGTTTCTATCGATGACAGTTCAAGTTATTATAAGGTAATTTAAAATCACAACTTTATGCCCCCTTCTCTTACTTTTTTCCAAGCAGCATGTTAAAGAATGTCAGTTAAAATTAAATACAATAATTTACCATTATCAGAGATGCATGCATCAACAGTACTCAGTAACTGTATAGTTAGAAGTTTAGCTGTAGCATTACATACAGCCTCACTCTGTAACCGGTCCAGATTCTTCACAAATATCTCTAGACCTCCACATTTCCTGACACGGTCTTGATTACTCTCTGAAAATATATAATGTGATAATTTTGTAATTCACCAAAACAAGAGGGCCATGATGGCCCTGAAGTCGCTCACCTGTATATAGGCCCCCGGAGCGGGGCCAGTTTAAATCCCAGGGCTTTTATTTGAACAAACTTGGTAGACACCCATTAGAAGATGTTTCATGCTAAACATCTAAGGTCTAGCTGGTCAAGTTTTTTCTTTACACATATAGTAAAAAACAATGACACACCTGGGGCAGGGCCAGTTTTGACCCAAGGGCTTTTATTTGAACAATCTTTGTAGACACTTACTAGAAAATGTTTCATGCTAAATATCTAAACTCTAGCTATTCGGTTTTTTTCAAAGAAGATTTTTAAGTTTTTGCTATACACATATATGGAAAATCAATGTCCCCGGGGCGGGGCCAATTTTGACCCCAGGGCTTTCATTTGAACAAACTTTGTAGACACTCACTAGAAGATGCTTCATGCTTAATATCTAAACTCTAGCTATTTGAGTTTTTTCAAAGAAGATTTTTAAGTTTTTGCTATAATTATACACATATAAGGAAAATAATAAATGACCCCCGAGGCCGGGCCAATTTTGACCCCAGGGCTTTTATAAGAACAAACTTGGTAGACACTCACTAGAAGATGTTTCATGCTTAGTATCTAAACTCTAGCTATTTGGTTTTTTTTCAAAGAAGATTTTTAAAGTTTCTGCTATACACAATTATAAGGAAAATCAATGACCCCCTGGGGCGGGGCCAATTTTGACCCCAGGGCTTTTATTTGAACAAAATTGGTAGACACCCATTAGAGGATGTTTCATGCTAAATATCTTAGCTCTAGCTCTTTGGGTTCTTTAAAAGAAGATTTTATAAGTTTTTACTATATGCATATAGGGAAAATCAATGACCCCCTGGGGCGGGGCCAATTTTGACCCCAGGGCTTTTATTTGAACAAACTTGGTAGACACCCATTAGAGGATGTTTCATGCTAAATATCTTAGCTCTAGCTCTTTGGGTTCTTTAAAAGAAGATTTTATAAGTTTTTACTATATGCATATAGGGAAAATCAATGACCCCCTGGGGCGGGGCCAATTTTGACCCCAGGGCTATTATTTAAACAAACTTGGTAGACACCCATTAGAGGATGTTTCATGCTAAATATCTTAGCTCTAGCTCTTTGGGTTTTTTAAAAGAAGATTTTTTAAGTTTTTACTATATGCATATAGGGAAAATCAATGACCCCCTGGGGCGGGGCCAATTTTGACCCCAGGGCTTTTATTTGAACAAACTTGGTAGACACTAACTAGAAGATGTTTCATGCCAAATATCTAAGCTCTAGCTCTTTGGGTTTTTTAGAAGAAGATATTTAAAGTTTTTTTTTGGTTGCCATGGCAACCAGAGTTCTGCATGGAATTAAATTCATTGAACAATTTTCAAAGGTGACCACCAAAGGAACATTCCTGTGAAGTTTGGATGAAATTGGCTTGGTGGTTTATGAGAAGATGTCATTTAAAGTAAAAGTTTACGTACGACGGACGGACGCCGGACGAAAAGCGATCACAAGAGCTCACCCTGTCACTTTGTGACAGGTGAGCTAAAAATACATCCATAACAATATTGACTCATTGTTATAAAGTAGTAAACTTTGAATATCAAATATGATACGGAATTGTTCAATATGTTACTGATTGATAAAATATAATTTCCAAATTCCATGGCTTGTAGTCATTTAAGAAAACATTGTAAATATCTATTTGTCGTGGAATATAACAACATGGTAATAGAACTAAAAAGCAAGAGATATATTATGCAGCCTGGCCGAGGTAGCTTAGTTGGTAGAGCAGTGGACCTGCGTTGCAAAGGTACATGGTTCAAGTCCTAGTCACGCTTCACAATCTTCACACCAAGAAACAATAATGAAGGAGTTCAAGCAATTACCATTGTCACATTCACAGCTTATACTGATTACCATTTCTTTCCTAAGAAACCAAAATTTGCTTGCATACATTGAAAAAAAAACACAAAAAAAACAAAGAAAAATATATACATGAAGACGAAATATCACTTACCATTTCCAGATACTGTAAGACCAATGAGTGAGAAAATTGGTCTTACAATTCTCTCATTTGATTGACTGGTAAGTAAACTGAATAAATATGGCAACAGTGAGGCACATATTCTTTGATTTCCCTCTGGAATTAAGAAAAAATAAAGAGATAAAATATATGTTAATAATGGATATGAAAAGATTAATCTTAGAATAATTATTACTTCTTGTCTTTAGACAATTTTTCATATATATGTTTTATGCAGTAATAATGTTTTATGTTTACTTAACAACAGTTTTATCAATGAAAAGATTAGCAGAGAAGCACAGATGAAGAATTAAGATGGAAACAAAATTTCATAATTGAGTTATACTTTTCAATACAAGTAACATAATCTCTCTTTTGTATTGCAAAATGAAACAGCACAACAATTAACTGTGTATACATGTACAGCTTTTAGTAGAATGGTTAAACACTGTGTTACACAAATCTAAGTGATGTTTTGACATTATTTAATATATTATATGCTTTTTTTAATGTTTGGCATACCACAAAAAATGGCTAATTGTCAGCCTATATATTTTAGCTTTAAACTGAATCAGCAGATTTGTGTAAGAAATTTAAGATTAGGTATGAATCACAAACTATGGTATGTTAGTTGTAGTTACCAAATTCAGGGACAACAGCAGTCTGCAAAATAACTTTTTTAGATCATAGACCATTTGGGCCTTAAAACTAGGCAAAAGTATAGGCCCAGACAGATTATCACAAGCCCAAAACATTAAGTGTGCAAAATGAACAGGCTAACTTAAGCTACACACATATAAAATAAACTCAACAATCTATTTCTGATACAAGTCTGTGAGACTTACCATTGATAGGATTGTTTACACAGGCACATGCAGTACTTAGAAGAGTGCTCCATAAATGAAGGCTTTTACCATCCATCCCTTCAAACCAGTCTGACTCTAGATCTTCTATATTTCTTGGCATAGTAGTTCTGATGTTTTAAAATTATGAGCATAGTATAAAAAAACAGTATAATCCATTAGATTCAGAATGTAACCTTCTCAAAATATGATTAAGATTACAGTTTTAGTCAAAACAAGAAGTAAAAAAGTTATGATCCAGGTACAAGTTTGCAGAAGGCAACGCCGCCAGGACTATAACAAAACCTCAACTTATTTTTTTCAAAAAAGTTTTTTAAAAAGAAAAAAAAAAGTCGAGCTCAAAATGACTGCAATAAAATCACTGTTGATGTTCTATATTTAGATATGTGACGCAATCATTATACATATATGACGACGTCGCCACTAAAAAATCTGATTCGCTGAAAATAAGTAGTAGGAAACAAATCAGGCGCAATTTAGCTTAATACCAGGCATGGCAGCATTTATTTATTGATGTCTTGTTAAAATCGAAATAAGTCAAATAACATATCCAAATCAGTGATTTCATTGCTTGATAACATTAACTGTTTGTTGTTTGGATGCGCATCATGATACAATTCCTTGCATCTGAACTCCAAACAGTGATGATATTGAGCGGTAAAATCACTGTTTTGGATATATAATTTCTTAAACAAGTCACATTAAAAGATGCCAGATTTCTTACATTTTCTTTCAAACTTCACAGACTGTATATCATATAATGAACCCTCTTTGGATAAAATCGAAGACATTGCATTTTTGTCCTAGGATGTAGGACATGATAATACAGACAGAATGATGCAGAAAGAGACATAAAATAAAATCTATTAAGATAAAGGGTCTGATTGAAACAATACCTTATCAAGGAAAGAATATCCTGTAAACAAGATGACTGTCTGACAAGATTTTGTCCAAAACCTGAAATAAAACAAGGTTAACAGACTGATAAATTAAATGAGGAATAAACATTTGAAAGATATTGTTTCTTTTCCTAGAAGAAAACAGATAACGGATTACTTTGCAAAATGCAAAATAACAAAAAAAAAAAAAAATAAATAAAAAAAATAGACAAACAAAAAATAACAAAAAAATAAATAAAACCCATTAGCTATAAATTATAGCTAGCTGACTCTCAACTTCCAAAATGATAACATGCTCTCAATATGAAGTTTGCTATAAAATACTGCAGCTTTGCACTTAGATAAGCATGCACTAATGATAAGAAGGGAGCAGTCGCCTAGCCTGCTTGCCCTACCAACTCAGGAATCATGTGTTTGAGCCCTACTGCTGGTCCATGACCATGTTCCTTCATATGACACCAGTACTGGTTAGTTCCAGAGTGCTTGAAACCAGAGTGAATTTTATAAAAAAGCTTCAAGTTTTCACCACATTCAAGCTAAAATAAATATATATTTAAACTAAAAATAAGAATAAAACATTGACCATACATTACCATTGTTGGAAACAAGACATAACAGTAAGAATGAGGCAGTCTGTTTCCTTCTCACTGCTGTTTTACTTGAGGAAGATAATATTCCATGTAGGAAAGTAAACACACTGGCTGTCGTCAGTAATTTCTGGGAGTAAACTGTTCAAATTGTAAGCAAAAATTAATTTATTAAATGAAAATTTGACTGTTCCTCATAACCTTGAAAAAGAAAAAGTTTGTGTTTAAACGTGTTTAAATATTCAAAACTTTTAAATCAACTTCCTGTTACAATGTGTTATCATCATTTATTAGAACTGTCCAATGTATCAACATATCACATGGGTATAAGAAACCTGACTTTATATTTATTCCTGTATACATCTTTAAATGATTACTACATATTTAATGCCCTGTGCCATATTAGAGCCTAGGAATTTTTTTTTATAACAATTATCATATGTTGTTTGATCACTATTTGCATTATATTAAACAGTGTGTTAAAGAAGAACACTACACTTTTAAATAGTAAACAGTTTTAAACTGACTGTAAGCCTACTGTCCTATTATTTAAAAATATATCAAATTTCCGAGAAAATGTCTAAGAAAAGAAATCTGTGCCTACCAGTAAACACTAAGTTAATAGTGTCTTTAACTTTATAACATTGTATATTTAAGGTCACATAACTCATGTAAAGTCTTTTTTATACTGTAAAGATTTATTTACCTACATCACAAATAAAGAATTAGTAAATTCAAATAGAAACAGAAAATATATCAAATGTAAAAGCAAAGTTGTGAACTATCAGTGAAACCTACCATTTCTTTCTACAGCACAACCAAGGCAGTACATCCCAGCTTCCGCTACTTCACTCTGGTCATGACTTGTCACCAATGTTAGAACTTGTTGGATTCCTCCAATATCTCGAAATACATCTTTAGCTTCACCTTGTAAATTATTCAATACATATATATAAAGTTTTGACAACACCGACATTTGTTTTCTTTATTATTGTTTGATAATACAATCATCTGATTTGATTAATGTTCTTTCCTGAATAAAATTTAATGAGTTTTGAAAAATCTAAGCAGTCAAGGAACTCTAAATTTCAGTGATAAAATAAAAAGCAAGTGCCACCTCAGGTGATCACTAATTATGTTGCAATCGTCGCGGCAAATTTCACGAGTCGGTTGAGTTACTCTAAATATGAAATTTTTAAAGGTCAGCCCAAGAAAAACATTTAAGAAAGGTTAAGTATATATTTATAATCATCTTATGCAAAAAATATATGAAATATGAAGAAAAGTCCATAGATGATAATAAAAATATATCAAATCTCCAACATACAAAATGTTGAAGGCATCTTGTTACCTGAACCTTGAAGCATGGAAGATATTGTCACTAAAGATTGTTTTACAGCAGCAGTGTCATCTTGCTGGTAGTCTAAACATTCTAACAACAACTTTAAATCTGTTTTCAACTCTGAAGTTAAGTACATTTAATTTTAATACATGTATAATTTTTATATACATGTAAAGATAGATTTTATATACAGGTGCAATTTAGGGGAAACACCTTACAGAAAGCTGTTAAATATGCAGAGAAAATCACTGCATATAAGCAGCAATGTGCAATCTGGAGTGAGTTAAGATTCTTGAAAATACCTTTTGTTTTAATATATCATATTTTCTTATCATAGTTCTATTTCTTATATAAAGAATTAAGCTCTCTAGTCTCTACCTAAATAAAACAACTTTAAAGAAACAGCTAGGTACCTGAATATCATTGAATGATGGACATTTTAAATTTTACTTGTCCACAGACAAGCGGAAACTTATATTAAATTCAACATCAAAATGCTGACTTGGACAACTTGGCCAAATGTAATGTTATGATTTTGCCATACATGCTGGTTGTGGGACAGAAAATAAATTTTCATAATTCTTACCATTGAATAGAATTAATTAAATGAAATATCTTTGTAAAATTACATATTTTAAGTTCCAGACTGTCTATGAAATTTTAATATTAAACTCAGTTCTTTCCTTTGCTCACAGTACACTGGAAGAGCATAAAAAATTAAAATATATTTGAATACTGATTTACCTAAAAGTTCCTTCTTCTTCATCCTTGAGTCCATACTCTGACTGGACCAGTAGTTTACTTATTCATTCAAGTTGATCACTTAACAAAAAATAAAACAAAACAATTTGAAACTAAGAATAATTTTTTACAACACGTAATAACAGTATTTCTCTGTGCATAAAATTTGCACTACTCACTACAGGCCTTGAAGATTGCAGGGCGAGTGACGTACGTACCCAGGGTTGTCATTAACATTTTTTGCAGAAGGTTTGTTTTGAACTTGAGGCGGTCATTTCTGTCTTTATCATGAATAACAAAGAGTGTTTTCTTAATTTTGAGGTGGCCCATAATGCATTTGAGACAGGCATTTTGGCCTCCTGCCGCGTCTTAATGACAACCCTACGTACCTATAAATTTACAAGCCCTTAACAAGATGTACTTGCCCTGCATTTTTCAACCAACAAAAATAATAAAAATAAAAAATTTACTATTGACCAGTCTATATTAGTATAACTGTCTTTATTCAATTACTTATTGTTTAAAATACTCTAATTTTCATAACTTTGATATATAATCTTGGACATAGCCTTTAGCCCTTTATACTTATTTCATTCAAATTCTCATGCACTTGGCTTTGGAACTGACCTCACGGTTAAATGTAAAACTAATAATTGCCAGACGCCTATGTAAAAAACATTGTCAAATGCTGCTGTTATTACAGAAGGGGGAGGCGTTTATTGATTCATCAAATGCATTCGGTAAAGTTTTATACTTAGCCATCATATGTCAATTTTCGGTTTTCGTTTGCAGGCATTCATACTATTAAATAGCATCTGCAGTTTGATTGTTTTACCTAATAACTTCATTCATAAATGTTAAGAGAAAAATCATTCGGACTGAGAGAATCTCACTTGCCGTGCTGGGCGAGGGCAAGTCCTATTTTTTTTTTCACTTAGCCCAAACTTTCACTTGCAAATAGGGTTGGATACCGATAACCGGTACTAGGACCATACCGAAAACCGTTTCATAATTTACCGGTAAATACCGTTTTCAACAGCACCAGTATTTTTAAAGGTATTTTCAAAAATAACAGGTCAGTGGTTTTGTCAAGGCCTGCACTAGTAATTAAAACACCTTGCTCTGGGAAAGAAATCTGCTGTAAAAGGAAAACAAGTGTTTAGCTATGTTTGCTAAATGTTAATTGATTAAGAGTTGTATTTTTGTTTGTTTAATAGCGAGCTCGACGAGCTGGCCCGAAGTGCCTGCTCGCAAGGCGAGCTTTATGGTAACGCGAGTACCTGCTAAGTGAAAACTTTCGTCCGAAGTACCGAATTGGACACGTACATCGCAACTTTTCGAATTTAAAGATAACGATAAAAACTGAGGAATTCTGACTGAAAACGGATGTGTAGACTGGTCACCCGCGCACATCTATGGGAACCATAATTGGACAGGGAACCAGAATAACGGAAGCTGTGTATAAAATATCGAATGACAGTTTTAAAACGGAAAATGTAAAATGAAAATTGAAGGCGCCATTTTGTTTGAAAAATCTGATAAATAAAAACAATTTTTTGTCGAATTTTGTTGTGAAAACTATCTAAAATGAAAGAAAATGGTCTAACTAAGAAAATGAATCCGAACACCAATATCATTTATTCAGTCGTTAACGCTGTACATACGTTTAAAGTATTGTTTTCGTGACGTCACAATGTAGCGCCAAACAGCATGTGCAAAACAATCAAATCAAGTACGCTATTTTAAGGTATTAGGACCCTAATGGGCACTATCAGGAACTAAAAAATTGACATCATAAGTCAGATGTATAGCTTAAAGTACACCTGTATGCAAAATTTAAACAAAGTTTACCGTACGGAAATCAAGTTATGGCCACTTTTCTGAACTCAAGCTAGGATGTTATGAGGGCCCTTTTTTAGAAAGTAGGAACCTTTAAATAATCTGCAATAACATTCTAATGAAAAATGATTTTCCATTAATCTTTGGTAAGAAACAAATAGTACCATTCAGCTAACAATCTAAATAAGCAAAATTATGGTTTCTACTTAAAATTTATGAAATCTGTATAAAAATGTTACCCTACCCCACCCATTTTTACCACGTGTCTGACCATTTTTCTACTTAGGGAGCCTAATTAAAAAAATTCTTAAAATCTACCCAAATGAGTGCCTCTTTTCAAAGTTTCCCTAAATTTTTAAGAAAGTATATTGGTTGATCTTGTAAAATATGAAATACTTTTACCATCTAGTTTTGATTATATTACACTTTGAAAATATCAGGTACCATATTTATTACTAGATTTAGCATAATTTAGCCAATAAATACCTATATAAATTAAAAAATCAAAATTAAACACTTTTTTCTTTCCAAATAGGACATGAGAGATACATAAATAATGTTAAAAGAAAACAAGAGCTGTCGGTAGGACAGCAACGCTCGACTATTCTAGTGCTTGATAGTAAAAAATAATGCTTGATAGAGTTACCTACTCCTGCTTACAGGTTGGTGACATGATGGTGAACAAGTATGCAAAGTTTCAAAGCCATATGTCAATGGACTTTGAAAATATTTGAGGTATTACAAAAAACTTTAACGTAAATTCTAAGTCGAAAAAGGGGCATAATTCTGTCAAAATGCTTGATATAGTTACCTCCTCCTGTCTACAGGTTGGTGTCATGATGGTGAACAAGTGTGCAAAGTTTCAAAGCCATATGTCAATGGACTTTGAAAATATTTGAATTATTACAAAAACTTTAACGTAAATTCTAAGTCGAAAAAGGGGCATAATTCTGTCAAAATGCTTGATACAGTTACTTCCTCCTGTCTACAGGTGGGGGTCATGATGGTGAACAAGTGTGCAAAGTTTCAAAGCCATATGTCAATGGACTTTGAAAATATTTGAACTATTACAAAAACTTTAACGTAAATTCTAAGTCGAAAAGGGGCATAATTCTGTCAAAATGCTTGATACAGTTACCTCCTCCTGTCTACAGGTGGGGGTCATGATGGTGAACAAGTGTGCAAAGTTTCAAAGCAATATGTCTATGGACTTTGAAAATTTTTGAACTATTACAAAAACTTTAACGTAAATTCTAAGTCGAAAAAGGGGCATAATTCTGTCAAAATGCTTGATAGAGTTACCTCCTCCTGTCTACAGATTGGGGTCATGATGGTGAACAAGTGTGCAAAGTTTCAAAGCCATATGTCAATGGACTTTGAAAATATTTGAACTATTACAAAAACTTTAACATAAGTGGTTACGCCGACGCTCGGGTGACTGCAATAGCTCTACTTATTCTTATCGAATAGTCGAGCTAAAAAGAAAGAAAAAAAAAGTTGACCCTTCTGGGGATTGAACCCATGGCCCTCATTTTCAATGTAGTTAACAGTAGTTCTAGCCTATTTGAATACTCTTCAAAGCGGAGGTAATGCATTAGGGTGCTAATACCTTAATGTCGCAAACGTTTTAAGTTTTACATTTATTTCACTTTTAATAATCTTAATTCGCTTGAAAAATTATAGAGTGAAATAAAATAAACAAACAAAGTTTTATCAACGTTTTCAAAACCCGTTATTCATTTAACGACAGGGGCGGAGCCATATTTAACACAGTACGTGTGACGTCACACACACTTTATTTGAAATAAATATTTCACGTTAAAAGTACATCGAGCTCGCTTTGAGGCTTTCAGACTTCCCGAAAGTTGAAAAAAACTGTCAGACATTCGGTCTGACAAACCATGAAAATCTGTCGGACCGAAACAAAATCTGTCGGACCAAATAAAATTGATCAAAATCAAAAAAAAACTTGTGTTTGTATTTCTAAGACACTTTTTGTTTTTTATTTTTTCGCCGTAAAAATTGGCACAATCCGTACAGCGCATTTTCATCTCCTCCCTGTCATACACCAATGATTCATGGTTCTGCTTTCATTTTTCATTAAATTTTGTCTCAGGTCTAATATTTTCATCATTTTATTGCTTTTCTGTGCACTCTTCTGACGTAGATTTTCGGTTTTTCCAAGGTTTGGCACCTTTAGCGACGCCATTTTGTATACATGCGGCTTGGATAAAAGCCGGACAGTCGGACCGATCCGGAATAAAAAATTGTCGGACCTGATCATAAATTTATCGGACATGTCCGTCGGACCGACGTATTTCGGAAAGTCTGGGCTTTGCCTTTTTCATATTAAACTAAAATATCTTAGCAACATCTGGTTCTAAACTACCAATATAATATACATGTATATTGTTCATTCCGTTTTCTTTAGTCAGTTACAAACAAGTTTTACTACTGAATTAATGTATATAAACGTCTAATCCTAGAAATTGCCCTTTTTATTATCATTTTCACAAATTCTGAATCTGAAAATTCAAATTTCAGTTTTGTTAGGATTTAAATGTTTATTTATTATATTATAACATTTATAGATCTACAACATGAAGATTCATTTAAGTATTTAAATTTATTTTACAGTTTGAATTTAAAAATATTAACATCTAATACAAAGTGGTTTCAGTTTTTAAATGTTTTGTTGATGAGTCGCGAAAATATATTACATTTTGAAGGGATATATTAAAAAATTTTATAGCACGATGAGAATGTTTTTATAAAATATTCATGTAGCAAAAACATACTTAAAACATACTTCCCAAAACAAATTTTTCAGAATCTGTCATACATTGAATAATAATAAACTTTTGCCTTCAGTTTATTATCATAACAAACTAGCAGACGTCTTTTCGTCGGTGTCACTTGAACGCTATGAGGAGAGACTAATTTCTAGTATCCGTTTTTTATCCCGGTTTGAGTTTCAAATTTTTCTACATTTATAAGACGGTATTCACAGACAAAAAAGAATAAGAGGAATCAAGTCTACAAAAGTTTAAATCGTGATAGATTCTATTTTTTAAAAGAAGTTCGTTGAACATTGCATTATCTACCAATTAGATCAGCAGACGGGTAAAAAGTACTGATTATGGATCCGGATACCCGCCACAACGTACTATACATGCCTATGCCCTTCCAGCATTTCATTTTGTTCAAGGGAGGTAAATGCAGAGGAAGTTTCGGAGATATCCTGATCAGATTTATTTC